ATTAAGGGCCTGGAGTCACTGTAGTAGTTTTTTTTTTTTGTTTGTTTGTTTTGTTTTGTTTTGTTTTGCATTACATGTTTAAATTTTGATGGTTTTCCTCAGCTTGTATCCAGCATTTGTTTTAAACAGGTGTGATAAGACATGCACTCAGATATGATTATCATGAAAGAACAAGTTTTTACTGAAAGATCCCTAAAGAAAGGAGTTACCGGGCAGCATGCATGGCCACTTGGGGACAGCCAGGGTCAGTCAGAAGGCAAAGGGAGAGGGAAGAGTGGACCATATTCAGGGCTTCTCATGAGAAAGAATCAGCAAGGCAGGGTAGATGCCCTGAAATAGCTCAGGATCAAAGTTTGAGCAATTTTGGAAGGCTTTACACTGGAAGGAAAGTGCCTAGTTGTTAGGTACCTTCGCACTCTGTTCTGAAACCGTGGTTTGTACAGTTGTTTGGCCTCAAATATTCATGTAAAATGATGTCACGCTCACCCCAGTCCCGTTACCATGGTTCATCGTCCTCAAACTTACTGTTTCCACTTATGTCTCATGTATCAGGGTTTCATTAGCCAGTAGTTTTTCTAAGGACATCAGAGGTGTGATGGTCCCTGAGTTCTGACATGTTTAACAATGTTCCTTTATTCTTATGGGACAGCTTGCACAGTTATGACTCTGTAGATGTTGCTCTGCTGTATTTAGCATTGTAGAGAGGTTTGGGGCCAGCTGGCTTCTTATACCCTTTTTAGGCATCACTTTCCCCTGTAGGTGTCTTCTTTTCCCTGTGAAGGAAGTTGAAGAATAAATTCTTTAACTATCTTCTTTTTAAAAAATAGTGTATTTATTCAACTGTAAGTTCAGATTCCCTTTCAAATAAAAAAAAGGAGGTTTTTTTTTTTTTCTGTTATATCTTTGAGTATGTTCTTTGTTACATGTATTTGTTTCACTATTTCAGAGATAATGTAATCCACAGAGTAGTGAAGGGCATCTCAGCTCTGGGTCCATACATTCTGTCTCTATATACTTCAACCTTTCCTTTCTTCTTTGCATTCTTTATGATCACTTAATCTCTCCTACTCTCTTTACTTATTTAATTTGAACTATATTCCTTCATTTCCAACACTTCAGCTAGTTCTGTATTTTCCCATTTCTTGATTAGTTCTGCTGTTATCGCCTTCAATTTATTTGTTTAAATAGAAATCCTCCATCATCTCTGTATGATTCTTCTCATCCTTCTACTGATTTCTTCTTTACCTTTGTTCTTTCAAGTCCTAATTCCTCATAGAGTCAAAGCATTTGTGGTATATATTTTGCACAGGAATGCACTTTTGCGCTTTTTGATGCGTTTCTTGCAGCTCTGTTTCCACCCTGACATCTGTCTCCTACGTGTTTCCCTTTTTCCTTCCTTTCTACCTTCCTTCCTTCTTTCCTTCCTCTTTTGGCTGCGGTATTTTTGTATAATTGCCTTGTCATTTGTTTCCACTTTGTTTCTTTTTGATCTGGGCATTTCTGCTGGATTTTCTCTTTACATATATATTGTGTGGATTGATTTTCATGGACTGCTTGCTGCCTCATCTGAACTCTCTCCCTTTAGCGCTTGAGTTGAAGACTGAGTCTTTGTGTTTGGTTTTCTTTGCCACTGCTTGAATGGTGGAAAAGGGGGAAGGTCAGATAGAGCTACGAATGGTAGTATTTGCAGGATTCATTTCTTTTCTTTTCTGTAATTGTTTATAGTCCAAAAGTTGAGTTCACTATATCAAATTGGAAGAATCTCTTTATCCTGGGGTGCAAAGTACTGAGTTCTAGATTTGTTTCATCAACAGGGTGGAAGTATAGAGAAAACCTGCCTAGATATTTGTTTTCTAAACCTAACCTAAAACTTCTGAAGAGCCATTGGCTCTTCTGCCAGACAAAAGATGAATAAGATAGACAAAAATCCAAGGAATTTGGCCACTATGCGGTTTTTGGAAGTGGGGAGGGTGATAACAACTAAAATGGGGCTTTCCGTATGTGTCCTGCCACTCACTCCACCAGATGAGTCTGTTTTATCTGCTTAATTTTTACTTGATTTCCTTACTGGTAAATCCCTCCATATCATTCAGAGTAAGCAAATCTGATAGAATATTGTGCAATTGTTCTGCCTTTCCTCTCCCCTGCTCCCCAGTAAGAAAACTAAATGCCAACATGGGTAGTTCTTTCTTTCTGTCCCTTTCTTCTCTTTTGATTTGTTAGTAAGGAGGAAAGGAGAATCTTCTGTGCTAAAGCAAGCAGTGGACTCTCCTCCACAGGCTGCCTGCTTAGACCCTCCAGTCACTCTCCCTCCCGCTTCATGGATTGCATTTTTGTCAGAATTTTTCCTCTCACATCTTCCTTTCAAAGCTCATTCTTGGGCTGGCCAAATAGCTCAGCAGATTAAAGTACCTGCAAGCAGGTGCAGGGGCCGGGGGCTCGATCCCTGGGACTGCCATACTGGTCCTGCCCCTGGGGTGCACTGAGATGGCAATTGAGACTGGGTGTGGTGGTGTGCACCTGTAATCCCAGCTCTTGGGAGGCTGTAAACAGGCGGATCACTAGAGTCCGATCTAGTAGTGAGACCCTGAACACCCTGGAGACCCTTCCCCTTTCCCCCCGCAAAAAGCTCATTATTTGCAGGAAAGAGTGATGGCACCTGCTTGAAATACCAGCATTCTTAGAGGCTGAAGCAGGAAGATCAAAATTTCAACCTCAGCTCAGGCAACTCTGCGACTTAGTGACATCCTGTCTCAAAACGAAAGTTTTGGAAAGGGCTGGGGATGTAGCTCAGTGCAAAGACCCCCGGTTCAATTCCCAGTGCTACTAAAACCAAAACCACAAAAAACAAAACTCATTCTATGAGGGAGGAAGAAAAGGTAATCAGTAATGGACTCTCTACATTTATCCCTAATGCTCTTTGCCTTTTGCTAGTCATTCCTTTTAGAGAATATTGCCTTTTCACATATTTGAACACTATTCATGTATTTTAAAATTTTCCTGTTGTAATTTGGCTCCTTTTAGGAGAAGAGTACTTGGTCCTGAGGCTTTCTAATTCCAGGATCACTCTTCCAACAGCTATTTTAGCAAGACTTGGGAGCCCCAACTTGATATATATCACTTTTATTTTTTCCTTCCTGTTTTTCTTTTCTCTTTTCCTTCTGTTCCCCAATAAAGAGGATTTTTCTATGTAACACCCCCTGTATGGCTTCTACTTTATTATTAAACTTTGAATGGTTCAATCCATCATATCGAGTTCTCAGAAGTCTACCATCTAATTGGTTTGTTTCTCTGCATCTTGGGGTATGTAAATGTAGAGTGAAGTCAGAGGCAAAACAAGGCTCACCATCTGTCACATGGACATGCCAGAGAGCAATAAAGACTGAGCTCAAGACTTGACAGATAGCTCAGAGAACATCCAGCCCCCTCCTGTGTCTATGGAAGGATTTCTGTCCTGTCTCTGATGGATGGCCCTCCAGCCTTTGTTTGGATACTTTTTTTTTTCCTCTTGAGACAGGGTCTCACCATGTAGTACAGACCAGCTTTGAACTCACTATGTAGCCCAGGTTGGCCTTGAATATGCAGTGATCCTCCTGCTTTAGCCTCCCAGGCACTGGGATTACAGATGGTGTGTCCCCATGTCCAGCTCATGGGTAACTTCAATATCAGGGAACTGGTGAATGCAATTATTCTTGGGAAGCTCACAGTAGTGTAACATTCTTTACCTTGAGCCCAACTATTTCTCTTCTTTTTCTGTAGTCTCCTTGGATGAAGCTGCTGGTCACACGGTATCCAGTCTTAGTTTCATTTTGATGGTTGCCATAATTACACCTATAGTCCTGATCTCTACCTTGATCTACAATCCTCGAATGTCATTAAATCTGGAGAGTTGTTAGGTTAAAACCCACACAAGATAGTAAAACTTGGATAAGTATAAATTTCTGCATACAAGTGGAAGCCAGTCATTGTACAGAATAAGGATACCTGATTTGACTCCAATAAAAGATGAGGCTTTACTTCAGTGTAAATAAACTGTGAACCCATAGTGAAGTATAGTAAGCCTGTTCTGCACAAATAACGAATGTCAATGCCAAAGAAATTTGCTGACGTCCTCCTAGGCTGAACTTGTGAAAGAGCACGCTGGGCCTATGTGTGGCAACATACCTAGAGCGTGTGTGGTCATAAAACGGTACCTAGAGACCATAGACCATAGCTGGAATGGGCAGCTGGGAAATGTGGCTGGTGCCTGCAAAAGGGAGGCTTTTGAGAGGTCAAGGAACTGTCTTCAAATGGGAAATACTGTGGGAAAATGATACTTGGTTTGTTCTTTCTGTTATCAGAACACAGCTCTAGCACGACTGCAGGAAGAAACAAAAGACTGGTTTTTGGCTCGGGTTGTTAGTGGGCATCTACACTTCTAACTTCTGTAAAAGGTCAAATGACCTTAAGCATTGTCCTGGAAAATCCCTGTTTCTGTTCCTATCCTTAGGGTTACTGAACTAGATCTGCTAATTTCCAGGTAGTCACTGGAAGATACAACTATTTAATATATTTGAGGGAGGACAATTGGGCAAGGGACCTCCTGAGAAGCCTGCCAAATAGAAGCCTTCTGCTCCCAAACATTGTTACCAACCCCCAACCTGCCTGTAGTTACCAGAAACCAATCTGATTCCAATCACAAGATCCTGCTTTGTACTGTGAGGGCCATGGGAAAAAAGAATTTAGAGCAGGCAGGCTTGAAGTTATGCTATGCTATCTACTAGGTCTGTGATTTTGAGCAAGTTATTTAACTTGTGGAGCCTCAGATTACCTAAAGTGGGACAATTGTGTTCTAGTTCTTTGGGCCATGTGATAAAGTAAGATAGCAATTATAAATTTCCAGGCACATCACTAAGTTTGTATAAGTGTTAAAGTTCTTCCCAGCACCCTGAGGCTAGTTGCCCGTGGTATTACTGTAGTTTGAAACAGATATGCTCTAAGGAATCACTTGTGTTTTCCAGGGACCCCTTCTGAACTCTCTCCAGCTACTGAGGAGGAAGAGTCGAAGAGTGGCTTGGACGTCATGCCCAATATTTCTGATGTGCTGCTGCGAAAACTGCGGGTCCACAAGTCTCTCCCAGGAAGGTAAAATCAGAACATGGTGTGCAGAAGACCTTGTTGTGAGTGGCCCTGATAGATGCTGAGAGGGACACAGAAGAGAAAGCCTTGATTCTTGACCCTAGAAGAGCCAAAGTCCAGTGGTCCAGGAAGGGGAAATGTATCCAGAACAAAGAGTAAAGTTCAGGCTGGTGTTTCCAATTCAAAGGCCAGGTGCCGTTCAAGGGTAGCATTACGCTGGAGGACACAAAGGTCCCCAGAGGCTCATGGCAACTGAGGACGGTGAGCTTTGTGCCAGAAGATAGGGGTTTCAATCCAGGCACACCATCTATGTGTAACTGGGAAACTCAAGGTCTGAAATCTTAGAGACGGAGATGCGCAGCATTTAGAACCACGTGCAGAAGGGTTGCTTGGAAAACCCACCAGATTTCTTCCCTTCTAAAGAAAGAAAATGCCTTTGCTTTTTGAGTTTCAATCTCTTCACCTGTTCAGTAGAGGTCACAAGTGCTCCGTCATGTGAGCGAGGACTTAGGACAGCTCTAGTACATAACAGGTGCTTGATTATGAGTTAAAAGGTAAACGGCTTGCGGATTTGAGGTAGAGAGGTTGCTGTGAAGACCAGGAAATAGAGATATTGGAGTGTAACACTGGGTAGGGTGTCAAGAATACCCTCTATGCTAAGGTAGTAATCAATCTGATGATCAAATAACAAAAGAAATCCATCCACTCAAAGACTTTGGGGAATACATTTTGTCTTAGTTACTCTTCTCTCGTTGCTGGGACAAATACCCGACACTCAAAATGAAGGAAGGAAAGGTTTATTTAGCTCACAGTTACTGGAGGTTTCCGTCCATACTCAGCTGGGTCCAAGGCAGAGCAGCACAGGGCAGAAAGCAACCTTTCATGGCGGAGGCAAAGAGCAAGAGTGCAAGGGAGGGGTAGCAGCCGCTCAGGCAGCTAGCTTCTCTTCCCACCTTACATTGTAATGCAAATTACCTGCCCCAGGGTAGGGGAAGTACTCACACCTATGGGTACTTCCCAGTACTTACCCACCTATGGGTAATCCCAGCAGTACTAAAACCCATAATCCCAGCCTTGGATCACACATAATCCCAGTGGATCATGAGTTAACACAAACTCTAGAAGTCCTCACCCCATGACTGCATGAGGCTTTGGGGGGACAACTAGACACAAACCATAACACATTTCCAAACAAAAGCAATAGTACTTTCAATACTATTTCAGTACATACTGGTACTAGTACAACTTAATAACCAAATGAAAAAGACTGAGGTTACAACCTTGACCTCACCCAGAAATTAACTTAGAATGGGCTATAGATCTGAATGTAAGAGGTAATGCTATAAAGCTCTTAGAAGGAGACACAGGAATGAGTCTGTATGACCTTGGATTAGTTCATGGTTTTTTAGGTGTGACATCAAAAGCACAAACAACAAGATTTTAAAAATAAATGAATAGTTCTTCATTTAAGAATTCTTTTCGGCTGGCTCAGGTTGCCTTAAGGGCAGGTCTGGTAAGGCATGTGGAGCTGGGGATCAAACCGCAGTCCCCTGTGCCTGCCTGGGTTTGCCCAAGCCAGCCTTTAAACAACTGAGCTAACCCGCAAGCCCCCCTTGTTCTTCATTTAAAAAAGAACTGCTCTGCTGCCTTCAAGATAGTGACAGGAAACCCACAATGGGAGAAAATATTTACTAGTCATTGCTGTGATAGGGGACTTGTTTCTAGAATGTGTAAAGAATCCTTATAGCTCAATAAATAGACAACTAATTGCTCAAAATGGGTAAAGTATTTAACTAGACATTTCTTCAAAGAAGGTACATAAGTGGTCTCATGAAAAAAGTGCTCTCTCCACTTGGAAGCCCACAGCCATGACTCCCTGCTGCCTGTGCCCTCTGCATTGGAACTGGCTGGTTTAGGGACCCAGAGATAGCTCAGCAGAATAAGTGCTTCCTGCGCAAGTGCAAGGGCCTGAGTTCAATCCCCAGTTCTGCCAAAAAACAACAACAACAACAAAAAAAAAACAACAACTGGCTGGTTCTCCAGACTCTCCACCTAGATCACACCTCCCTGAGCCCTCATGGTTCTCAACATAAAAATTTAAAAGGTTGGGTGTGTTTTGTAGCAGAAAAGTAGGATGTGAGTCAATACAGTAGAAAAATAAGTTCGATAAAATATAAAAATATGTAAATTTCCTAACATTCAAAGAAATCCAGGACTGCTTAGGCAGAGTGCAGTGGCCAGGGTTTGATCCCTGAAGTGCCGTGCTGGCCCCTCCCCCAGACCACACTGAGACCAGGGCTGAGACTGGGTGTGGTGGCACGCACCTGTAATCCCAGCTCTTGGGAGGCTGAGCATAGGTGGACACTGCAAGTCCAATCTACATAGTGAGACTCTGTAGACCCTGTCCTAAAATACAAAAAACCAAACAAAACCAAACAAAACAAAAACCCCAGTAATCAAGGTACACTCAGTGGCTTTGATAAACCAGTGAGACAATATGTGTTGTATGTTCTGTGTGACCATAGAGTCGTGGGCGTTCAGAGGAAAGGGCCCTCTGGGTGTGGCTGGGACAGGAATTATAAGCAGTGAACATCTTTGTGACTGTTTACCCCGTGTTCTGTTCCCTCCTGCTTTTGTAGCTGGGGGGTCTTGTCACCTCATCCTGACAGGAAGGGCTCACAGTCCCCTTCCAGAGCTGGCTGACCCCACCTTTGCTCCCAAGGTCCCTCCGCACCCGTGAAAGGGAGGAAGCCGGGTTTCCTGAAAAGCTTGTTGATGGGATGCGCCCATGACTCTGGCTGGACCCCTCCCAGTCTTCCCACCCAGCACAGGAAAGGGCCTGTGTGTTATTTACATTATCTGGGGCCAGCCTTAGTTACCAGCGAGAGTAGTGGTGGTGACAGCCACCCTGAGTGAGCATGCAGATAAAGGGACTGCTCACTGGGGACAGCTGTGGGAACTGTGCACAATGAGGCGCCCTCGGAAGGGCACTAGGTGCCAGGTGGGACGCTGATGCCAGTCTGCTGCCAGACACTGGAGGTCTCACTGTGTAAAGCAGCTCCAGCCCGCTCTCCTATTTTTATTTTCCAACCCACACAGGCCTTTGTCACAGCCTTCAGTTAGGGGAGGTCGGCCTTTGCAGACCTTCACGGCCCCAGAAGCCTACGGTGGGAACTCAGATGTGTGGGAGGGCTGTGAATTACACGTGCATACTGTTTTCTTAATAAAACTCACAGCCTTCTGAATTAATAATAATAATAATAGCTAGTATTACCCAGGTGCCTCCTGAATGTGATGTCACGCATTTGCCCCTTAGTATACATGAGGAATTGATTCCAGGACCCACCGCTCTCTGTGAAGACCAAAATCCCCCAATGCACAAGTTCCTTGTATAAAACGACATGCTATGCACCTGACCCACATTTGTCATCCCCTGGACTCGGCATCTTCTCTAGGTGACTTATAATACCAATGCGATGTAAATAGCAGTTACACTGTAATGTTCAGAGAATATTACCCCACCAAAGGCTGTACATGTTCAGTATAAACACAAATTATTAGGGCCAGCCAAATAACTCCATGGATTAAAGCACCTGCAAGCAGGCACAGGGGCTGGGGGTTCAATCCCCAGGCCTGCCCTTCCGGCCCCACCCCATGGGGCATGCTGAGATGGTGAGTGAGACTGGGTGTGGTGGTGCACGCCTGTAATCCCAGCACTTGGGAGGCTGTAAAGAGGAGAATCACTATGAGTCCAACCTTGTAGTAAGACCCTGAGCACCCTGTAGACCCTTCCCTAAAATTAAAAAAAAAAAGCCAAAAACAAAGCCCCACAAATTATTTTGTGCATTGGTTGAATTCAGGAAAGTGGAACTCACAGATATGGAGGCTGCACCATATTTATACACATCTATATTCATATATGTATATATATATATATATGGCTTGGTTGAAAAATACAGAGAATGTTTACATAACATGTACTACCCTGAAAGACTTACTGTTATGAATCGCCCTCAGTGAATCCCTTTCTTTTCAAGCATACCCTATCTGTTTTGGCACTTTATGAAGTGCTTCCAGAAGCCTTTTTGTGTCTTTAATTGTGCTGCCGTGGCCACCTTGGTGTCCTGAATCAATTCGAAACGTTTATCTTTCAAGTCATTTTGACTTTGGGGAAGAGCCGGACGTCAAATGGTGCGAGATCTGGTGAGCAGGGCAGACCAAGGACAGCGTGACGTTTTCAGGCGCCTGCCTTGCTGTTGGACGGCGCTCTGCAGCGGCATTCATACAGGCCTTTCGGAACTGCTTCTGAAAGTGGCAAGGACGATCAGACAGAGTGTTTAAAGAGGGGGTATTTTTGAGGAAATTAACAGCAATGTGGCATTTACTGTAATGTTTTATTTAAACACTTGTGCTACATTTCCATCCTACTTTGTATATATGTACACACATTCCTTGTAAGATTTCTGTAAGGCAGGTGATGTAATTCCCATTTTACAGACAAGCAAGCTGAGGCTTCGATTAGATAACTTCTCTAACCTTAGAGGTGGTGGTGACACTGCCGGATGGAGGGCTGAGCTCAGGATCTGTGCTTTCTGCTGGGTGCCTCAGTAAGGGTCAGAACCCCACAGATGGCAGGACGTGCCAAGGCGACTGCGCACTGTTTCTACCTCACGAGGGCCATTCCTGCAGGCCCCTCTTGGTGCATTCAGTGGCTCAGATAACATTGACACGTGTGTTTTCTCTCCTCCACAGCGCCCCTCCACTCACTGAAAAGGAAGTTGAGGTAAGAGGCTTGAGCGCTTAAGCAACGTCATGTGTGCTTACCTGGGCTTGTCAAAACCTTCCTTTCTCCCGGCTCTGGACCCAACATCTTTCCACAAAAACGAGAACAAGCGATTGTGGTGTAATATGAACATTCTTGCCCAGCCCTACGGAGCCACCAAGATTCCCACTCCCACCTCAGTTCACAGGAGTGCTCAAATTTGGTCAGATATGAGAAGGTAGCTGGAAACCCCGCGCTCCTTCCAGGGTCACCTGTGTTCTTTAAATGTGTGAATTAGATGTACAAACTCAGCTGGGAGGCTGAAGAACCATACTCAGTTTATTTCAAACTTATTAAGAGTCTCAGATTTCAAGTTGCAGTCTCTGGCCGAGAGGGCCGAGGCACCGGCCTTCAGAGGGTCTCGGCTGCAGAAAGCTGTCCATTTGACAGCCAGATGCCAGCAGCGCAGCCCCTCCATGTGACCAGTAGTGCTTTGGGGCTTCCTTGCCCCCGTGGGGCTCACTTGGTCTCATTCTGGAAAAGGTGTGGACAGAAAAAGAAAATGTATTAGAGGCAAGACAGCAAAAAACGACATGATCACTGTCCACAGAAGACGGACGCTGTCGGATGTCTACTGCCGACCGCAGCGGTAGACATCTGTGCACTAGATATTGTGTGCATGGTTCCAACGCTCACGGCCCCCCTTCAGCCCATCCTCCCGTCAGCCCTGAAAAGCGGGTAGGGCAGGTCTCACAGCAAAGGAGAAAACTGGGTGTTTCAATAACTTACTGTAAGTTCAGTACTTTGCAAAACCAAGACTCGGAGCCACATGTTCTGGTTGAATTCAGGAGTCTCTGTGTTAAGTGACCCAGGTTGAGGGCACTAAGCAGTAGACATGAGTCATAGACCTGACTGATGTGGGGCAGGAGGGAGCATCCCCACCATGGGACTGTGAGCTCAAAGCCCACTCTGACGTTGGTGGACATGGGCCGGGGGTGATCCGCTTATGGCCAGGTCCTTCCTCAGAGGTGACTAGACACGGTCAGCTCTCAGCATACCGACCTTTGGAATCAGAGAGGCCAAAGGCAAGTCCTGGGTCTGCTCTTACCTGTCATCTTGAATGACCTCTCTGGCCTCAGTTTCTTTACCCATAAAATAGAACAGTTGCTATGGGATTAAAGGAGGTAAGGTGTGTAAAATCCACAGTGGTGTAGGCAAGTAGGAAGTGATCGATAAGGAGTAGTTTTCATATTGATATTACCATTGCCATGGGATCTGATCAGTGACTCTGGCGCTGTCTGGAGATGTCTGTCTGTGGTGGTCATGTCACATGGACCTCAGGCACGCAGGCAGAGCGCGGAAGCACACACTATAAATCTGCTACCGCTGCGCTCAGGCACAGCAGATAAAGGCTGTGTAACTGAAGGCCTTTCCTTTTTTCCTTCCTGTATAGAGTCCATCTCTTTATTTCTCCTCTCTAGTAGTTTCCTATTAGTCCAAAAAATTTCATGTTTGGTCAATACCTTTTAAAAATTCATTCATGAATGAAACACTACATTTTTTGATAAGGAATATTTATTCCACAAAGCTTTTCCTGATCATAGCTGGCCTTATTTAATCCCCTGGCAGCCACTTAAAGCTGCTATGGATGTGAGATTTGAAATACTCAGGCTAGGTGCTGGTTGAAGCTCAATAGAAGTCAACAAGGCTTAATCATAAAATGGGGTTTATTTAAAGACAAAGATCTCATGCAAAATCTCATCATTCATCCCAATGGCTTATACAATCAACTTCACTTCCTTGAGTTTTAACACAAATATAGGATGTAATTTTCTTAGGAGTGTAATTCCCTTATTATGATTTGAAATCCAGGGGAAAACAGAGTGTAATTCTCTTGTTATGATTTGGTAAAATGCGTTTGGTCTTCTGGTCTTCGGGAGGACCTAGCACAGACCTCGGGTCACTATTCCCGTGTTTTGTGTGCTTTATGCTGTGGAGTGAGTTTTGCTTGTATATGGCAGCTTTGGTGCCTGCGACTCTTGTAAAATGTCCAGCCAAGAGGCACATGGCTGCCCTGTCCCCTTCAATACCTAGCACTTCTCCCACACTCTTGTTCCCAACAGAACGTGTTTGTACAACTGTCCTTGGCCTTTAGAAATGACAGCTATACCCTGGAATCTAGAATTAACCAGGCTGAAAGAGAACGCAACCTGACCGAGGAGGATACCGAGAAGGAACTGGAAAATTTCAAAGCTTCCATTACGGTAACGGCTGTCTCCAAGGGCCATGCCAAGGTCATGCTCCTCTCAGTCACCACTGGAGTGTCCTGAAATGAGAACTGGGGCCGGGCCTGACAGAGTTTTCCTCAGAGAGCTGGGAAGAGCCGAGGCAGAGATTCTGAAGGCCATCACTCCACAGCTGTGGGAGAAGCCTATGAGCTTCTCCGGAGGGGGCTGGGTGGCCTGCACGTGACTTCTGCATTCAGGTCAGCCAGGTGTAGTGTGTCCACCCTGGCCTCCCCAACCCCAAGAAGATGCTGTGACCCAGGCCCTGCAGAGGCCCCTTCTCTCAGCCATGATGAGGTCTAGGGCTTGTCTCATGAAAGCCAGGTCCAGACTTGGTTGGTGTTTTAGCCAGTTCAGGCTGCTGTAACAGAGCACCGTGGACTAGGGGGGCAGAAGCAGCACATGTGCATTTCTCACAGTTCTGGAGACTGGAAGTCCAAGGTGAGGGTGCCAGGGCATTCAGGTGCTAGTGAATGCTTCAGGTTTGTAGTTTGCCAGTGTCCCATTATATCCCAAGGTGGCAGAAAGAGGGCAAGAGAGCTCTCTGGGGCTCCTTTCAGAATTCCATTCCCAGGGACCCACCTTCACGACCCGAGGTTACATGGAGTCTCCACTTCCCTAAACTCTAGCCTTAGGAATTAGGCCCTCAGCATGTGTTGAGGGGAGCACAGACCCTGGGTGGTGGCCCTGTGTGAGGGCCCTGGGAGACACTCCTTCCTGCTGTTTAGTCTACAGCATCACTGTGGAACCACTGTGAGCACCGTGAGACCTACCAGAAGCTGCTGGAGGACATCGTGGTCCTGCATCGCCTGGCTGCCCGCCTCTCCAGCCGGGCTGAGGTGGTTGGGGCTGTCCGCCAGGTAAGCTCCGCCCCCAGCCTCACTGTTCTATTCTGCCTCCACCTGACTAGTAGGGTGACATGAGCAGGGACCACTGTAGGCCCCACCCAGTGACAGCTGGCTCTGGGCCAGGGTCTAGGGTAGGTTATTGAGGTACTGTTCAGAGTATTTTGGTGGCCTACTAAACCTCTGGGTTACTTCTTTGCAAAGGCATTGTGTGAACACATAAATTTACAGGGTTCTGTGTATTGTCTTCCTTTCTTGATATTTCTAAGTGTGTTGGCTTTAGAGTGCTATAAGAAAGAAACACGTTTAGCTTTACCTGTGTATTTCCAAAGTGCATCTGGCTAGAGAACCCTACCCTCCTCCTTTCTTTTTCCTTCTTTCTTTCTTTCTTTCCTTCCTTCCTTTCTTTTTTTTCTTCCTAAGACATCCATTCACCTCCCATGGAATTAGTGCTGGGCAAAATGTGCTTTAGGAAAATGGCTTTGTTTCATTAAATCTATTCAGTAATCTTATAAAGTAACTATCTTTTTCTCCCAAATGAAGATAGAAAGTTCCAGAAAGGGACCAGAAAAGATTGAGCATCCCTAGCCTGATATCCTAAATATTCCACATTTTTGAATATGTAAATGATGCTACAAGCAGACATTTCCACACTCAACTTCATGAAAAATATAATCCCAAATACAAAACATTTGTGGTCCTAAGAATTTTGGATAAGAAATACAGAATCCATAATAGCATTAGCGAACGGCAAAGCTAGGCTGCAGGCCCACGTCACACCCTCTCTTGGCCCCTTTGAAGTCCTGAAGTGTAGTGCTTCAGCAGGGTGCTGTGGGCCGTGCTGCCAGCTTCCCATCCTGACTCTACCCTTCCACTATGGATGACCTTGGGCCAGTTGCTCCCTTGGCTGTAAAATGAAGATGGTTTAGTTGTCTACATAGGGTGTTAGAAATACTTGCAAAAGGGACCTGGGAGATGGCTCAGTGGAATAAGCACTTCCCTGGCAAGTGCAAGGGTCTGAGTTCAAGTCCTGGTTCCGAAAAAAAAAAAAATTACTTGCAAAGCACTTTGATGTCATTATCTGTGTTGCTGTTATTAATCATGGACCCGTGTCCTGCTGCACTGGTCTGGTCCCGTCTGTCCTGGGTTCTCTCACTACCACCAGTCTCTCTCTCTTTGGTCCTAGCTCTGCTCATGACCTGATCGTGTCCCCTCATTACTTTAAGACATGCAATGGCTCCCCTTTCTCTTCACAAAAAGTCCAAATTCCTCATCTAACGTTCAAAACCTTTTACAACTCAGTCCTAACCCACGTGTTCTTATGAACAAACTCAGCTGCTTGCTGATTCCTACATAAGTAGGGTGACCGCTCTGTTTTGTTTTGCCGGACAGCCCTGCCAGTGCCCATTGTCCCAGCAATGTGTATTGGTGCCACCTTTCACTCTCCCAGGGATTTCTGTCGGGAGGATAAATACTCACTTACATACAAGGAGGGAGGGAGGCCCTGCTTCTCGGAGTCCCCCAGCCAAGATTCCATTGGCCCCTCCTGCCCTTGTCCTTGTGCCCACAACCTGCCCACACCCTGTGTGCACAGTCCCACCCCTTTTGCACAGAGCCTCTGCTGCCATTCTTGGAAAGCACAGCAAAGTCTCCTCCTCTGTTCTTCTACTTGGTCACAGGTGCCCAAGTCCAACCCTTCAGCTCATATGGTGAGCAGGGTCACATTGGTTGGGTCCCTCCGTCTTCTCCATTCTCAGAGCCTATACTCTGGCTCAGAGCAGCGCATGGCACTGATCCTTTTACTGCAAACCCCCCTCCCCCCGCACACTCCCACCCAGGCTCTCTTTCCCTGTAGGAGAAGCGCATGTCAAAAGCGACAGAAGTGATGATGCAGTATGTAGAGAATCTGAAGAGAACATATGAGAAGGACCACGCAGAGCTCATGGAGTTTAAGAAACTTGCGAATCAGAATTCAAGCCGCAGTTGCGGCCCCTCTGGTAAGGAACTTGACTTTGGCCTCTGTCTTGGTCCAGCTGTGCAGGGCACCAATGGCTCTCAGCCCTGGAACCTGCTTTGGGTTCAGTCATTCCCTTCCTCTACCCATGCAACCCACAGGGCCCTCACAGCAGCTGTTCCAGGGGGCCTTGAGGTCTGGCAGCAGGAATTATGAGTAGCCCCAGAGTGATCTCTTGGCTTCCAACACAGCCCACCAGTGACTGATCAAAGCCCACAGCAGGCAAGAGCTCCCTCTTTGTGAGGGAACCTCAGCCCCCGCCAAGGCTTTGTGCTTTGGGAACTCTCGCCCTGCTTTAGATAGCACATGGCAGAGCATTGGAACTGTATTCTGGAAAGCATTAGGTATCCAACCTAGGAACAGGCATAATCGTATATATAGTTTAAGAAAGTTTCCTCCAACGGCAGCAGGTCAGTGACATTACCAGAACAAGCCAGAGTCACAAAGCCCCGTGGAGAAACTATTGCAACAGCCCATGTGAGGGTGACACTTGGGGGTGGGAAGCGAGAGGCTGGCTAGGAGATAGTATTGAGTAGTCTAAGTTTCATACAAGCTGCTCTAAGGTTACCGAGGAGCGTCTGCTTAATTCTGCATACAGGAGTCAAGGAAGGCTTCGCGGAGGGGTGGTAGCTGGCCGTCTACTACTTTACAGTATAAATAGCAGCTCTACAGCCACGAGGTGCAGGCTTATCCCAGGTAGAAGAAACAGGCATAGAGATTGGTTCTAAAAAGAAGACAAAAGGGTCTGATGTTGCTGCAATCCAGGGATGTGATGGGTTGGAGATGAGACTCAGTAGCCCAGGGTCACCTGCCAGGAGATGCTAACAATGCAGGCCTTTGTGCTCCCGATGCAAGGAAGTCGCTGGTGAGTTCACATCACAGGGCATGCCCAGATTTTATTTTTAGAAGAGCACTGTGACTTCAGGGGGCACCGTGCTAGAGGAGCACACAGGGTGAAGTAGGGAAGACGGGGAAGGAAGCGCTCGCTCGGTCCAGGAGAGGGATGACGGCCCTGGGGGCCAGGCAGGATCTTTCCTCGGACTCTGCCAGGGTTTGCACTCTTGTCAATGAGAGTGGCTCACCAAGGAATGGGCCTTTGTACATCAGGAATCTCTGTGAAATGCAAACATCCGCATTACCAAGAGCAGGAAGAGAGAAAGCATAACAGATGGAGAAGGCTTTATAAACAGGAGGTTTCACAAGTTTCCTGAGGAGTATCAGGGACACTTCCAAAAGTCCAAAGGCACTGTGCGCATGCTTCAGGTTGTCTGCTTTGGGTCTCAGCAGCAAGGATCCAGAACATGGGCATCTGGGCTTCTGACGTACTGCTCTTGGCCAGCGTTGGACTCTACACAGAGGTGTCGCCACGGAAATTCTAGTATGTACATTCTCATGTTATTGCCCTGCAAGATTCGAGGTCTCCTGAGAACCGCCTTTCCAAGATTTATGGGATGTGCACTTACCTGGGAGTCTCATTCACTGGCTCTACAGACATTTACTGAACTTTTTTGGTACGCCTCACACGACAGGGGAGCATAGGGTCGCAGGGCACACTGCCCCACAGTCTGTGGAAGGTCAGGGCAGCGCAGCCAGTGCTCAGACGTAGGTGTGGGGTATGGTACGGAGCCCCGCGGCCCTTCTAACCACCCCTTTTTTTGGTTTGTTTTTGTATGTTAGGGAAGGGCCTACAGGGTATTCAGGGTCTCACTACTAGATCAGACTCATAGTGGTCCACCTGTTTACAGCCTCCCAAGAGCTGGGATTACAGGGGCGCACCACCACGCCCAGTCTATCCATGGCCCTTCTGAGAGGATAAGAAAATGCATACAGGGCCGGCAAGACAGCTCAGGGGACTAAGTTCTTGCTTAGGGACCAGTGTTCGATTCCCAGTCCCACATGCTGCACCAGCTCCACCTCCGGGATGTGCTGAGCCAGAGACCAAGTCTAGGTGTGGTGGCACAGGCCTGTAATCCCAGCACTGGGGAGGCTGAAAACAGGCGAATCACTATGAGTCTGAGTTGTACAGTGAGACCCTGTACCAAATACATAAATAGAAAGAAAGAAAGAAAGAAAGAAAGACAGAAAGACAGACAGAAAGAAAGAAAATGCAAACACCAGCAAAAGACATGACATCTGAGTCTTAACTGGTGAATAAATGGCTGTCGGATGTTGGACTTCACTTCAGATATTTTTCCCAAGCCATAGCTTTACCTGGGCTGGTGCAGAGGGGGCAGTAAATCCCAGACAGGAGACCCATGAGAAGTGCTACGGTCATTTCATAATCGTGCTTGCTTTTTAGGCCCTGGCATGACTTCTGGCAATCTTTGTCTGTGGTTGAGACTGGGATGACCACAGTGAAATAAAACATTCCTGACTCCAAAAAATCAGAGGCTTTTTTTTTTTTTTTTTTTTTTTGGTACCAGGGATTGAACTGGGGACCTTGTGCTTGCCAGGCAGGCACTTACATCGCTGAGCTGTATTCCTGATCCAAGATACATATTCCTTTTTTTTTTTTTTTTACTTCATCTCACAAGTGACATTAACTTATACTGCTGCTTCCCTTTTGATTCAACAAATCAATGCAACAGCTTTTTTTTTTTTTTTTTGTGGTATTGGAGATTGAACTCAGCAAGTACCTTGCACTTGCCAGGCAAGCACTTATTCTACTGAGCCATCTCCCCAGCAAGATACATATTGCTAAAAGCCTCTTTTTGTCTGGCTTCTCCTTCACTACCTTCTGCCCACCATGACTGTTTTCCTCTGCCAAGCTACCCCGCCTTGGAGCCAGACAATGTGGACTGAGACTTTTACACACTGAGCTAAATAAACCTTTCCTCCTTTGAGAAGAAGAAACACAAACTTTTTAAAAGTAAATATGCAATATGCTAATTATCTACATTTTAGATTATTCTTTAAAGTAGATTTCTAGAAATATAGATACTAGTTCGAGAATATAAGGCTCTTAAAGCAAGATATTTTCAAATAATTTATTTGTATTTTCATTGAATGGGTTACAATGATGTTGAATTCATTGAGTTATAGATATAATTCTTGTTCTTTTAAAAATATTTATGAGTTTGGAAGTTAAAAGTTATTTTATCTCATAATTTTAATTTTTATTTCTTTGCCTTTCTAAATATTTATTAAACATTCATTTATACTTCTGTAAATACTCTAATTCTGACCTTTGACCCCTTGTAAGACTGGTATTTTGTTAAATGGTTTGAATTCTTCAATATAAAAATTATTTTCTGGTTTTGCTATTTTGGCTGACTGGAGAACTTGCAGCCACTTTCACCATAAATACTCAGAAATCTTTGTTGGACAAAATAAAGCAAGTACTTTAAAAGAACAGCTGAATCTACAAGAAAAGAAATCGAAATACCCAGATACGAGGAAGGAAAAGAGAACTGAAACCAAGCTGATCCTGCAGCTTCCTTGGAGGCAAAATCTATCATCCGGGGGCTCGGTTATTGGGGGCTGAGTATTTGCATCCCATGCTCCTGGGGACAAGAGCTTGAACACTCAACACAGAATCAACCCTGAGATTTACACAGAAAGCTGGGCTCTTCCAAGGATAGAATCTTTAAACAGAATTTGGACAAAGCACAGTCACCAACTACAGGAGAAATGGGAAAGTTGTTTGTTGTAGCCTGTGCTCTAGTAAGAAAAAAAAAAAAGTTCTTCTTCCTCATAGGAAAAGTATGTGCCCCAAATGACAGCCAGGATGGTGCAATATGCAGAGAATCTGAAAGAACAGCAGGATGGAGCCTTTAGGACATTGTCAGCCACCCCAGAGAGACACACCCTGCACCCCTGACAACCAGGGTCCCTTTGGATAAAGCTTTGTGGGAGACACAAAATACACAAAACAGTCCACCATGAACAGCAAAAATCATCAGACCTGTTAGACAACAGGACCGTATCTTAAGCATGTCCCCCAAAACTTGATTTTTAAAAAAGGATACATCAAAAATGTTTGAAAGCATGAAAGAACGGATGGAAAACAGGAAAGTGAAAAGAATACAAAATAGGATAAAATGACTTGTGGAAATGAAATAACTACACATGCACGAAAAACTCAGTAGCGCAGGTGTAGAAGTTCCGTGGAGGAGGCAGTTCCTCAGTATTCCGGATCCGCTCCCTCTGGGAACATTTCTCTAGCTCCTCGGCTTTGGTGACTGAGGTGTGCCGTAGCTGAGCTGGGCTTCTCAGAAAGTACTGTGTACTTTTCTCTTCCTTTCTCCTGACCCAACAACCATCCCTGCTTTAAAATCCTAGAAAAAGACATTTGACCAGAAGATAGATTTGGAACTCTTACCCGAAATGCAGTTTCGGGTACAGTGGATACAGTGACTAAAAAACTAAAGAAACATTATTAGACATATGATATAGAAAAAGTCTGCCACCCATTTGTTAGATAGTCTACAAGGAGAAGAAAATTAAAGGCAAAATATTTTAAGAAAGAGTAGCTGAGGATTTTCCTAGAATAAAGACCTAAATCACTGAATTCATAGAACCTCATGAAAAGCAAAAACACATGAAAGAAGAACTTCAGAAGAGCAAAGACAAAGAGAAAA